TATGTCAATATAACCGGCCAATAATATAATACAGTATATTTTAAGAAGGACCAAAGCTGGCTCGAAAATAAATGAAAGAGCAAAATGTTTAACCTGCAATATGGAAATAGTGCCACTGGTGGCTAGAATGCCCAAGCATATTAAAAATTGTAAACAACTTAAACAAGGAAGTTTGTTAGAAAAACAAAATATTCATATATCAGGTAGTTCTGATACCGACAATGATGATGTTTCTACCGAACCTATTTCTTCAAAGTTAAGTAGCTTCTAGAATTGTGCCAAAGGTACAGTTCCGTAAAAAGTAGTGAAAAATAAAAATGTATTCTATGTACATTTTCCATGATTCTATATTTTAAAAATATGGATTTAATGATTTTTTGATTTTTTGTTAAATAAGATGGGTTAAGTAACTTATTTAATGTTATTATACAAGTAAATACATAGTCATATTATATGATTATTCTGCTGCTTGTAGTGTACTAATGCAGTTTATCAAGTTCACTCGTTCGTTAAGAAACAGATTTTTTCCACTAGTATTAGTTTGATTAATTAATAAAAAATAAAGTTTATTTTTTAGTTACCTGTATGTTCAACCGGCCCTTTTAGTTTCGTTTTGCAAAATAATATCAATTTTCATCATAATTAAAAAACTATAAAGAAGTTGAATAATTCACAAACGACAAAAAAACAGCGTTTAAAACATGTTTTAAACAGTTTAAAACAAATTGGTTTAACACACCTTCATTGTTTTAATCAGTGTTTAAAACACTTGTTTAAACATTTTGATTAAAACAAAACAACCCTGATGGAAGGCAAATGTTTTTTGGAAAAGGGCTGGGTAGTGGACTGGCATGGCAAAAGTTAGGTTATGTCTGAGATTTCTCTAACTAATTTCTCTTGGTCAACGTTTCTAAAATATACGGTGGCTTTTTAGTGCGAACTACTTTATGGACAAATACCTTCATAGCATAAACAAGCTTCCAACAACTTAAATCTTGGATTTTAGAAAAGACATGACTATATTTACGAAGTTCCCACAAACCAGCAGTTCTTTTGAATTGTCTGTAGCCTATACCGGTCCGACGAATCCAAATAAGGATAGAACAAAGTTAAGGAATAATGCAAAGATGACAGGATTAAAAGCTTTCAACTATTATAGCCTTAAAGTTGGAAATGTACCTGTAGGAATATGAAAGTTTCAATTTGGCATACGTTTTTTGAGACAGGTAACAGATGTCTCTATAAAAATTTGAAGTTAAAAATAACACTCAGGTTTTTAAATATTCTACTATGGGATGAGTTCATTATCTATAATCAATACACTGGCGTCCTTTACGAGGAATGTCTTTTAAGTTTTGCATATAGAAACATAGTAGGCCACGCGGATCGAACGTCAGTACTGAATCTTAACCTCACTCTTTAGTAAACTTAAATTCAAAGTTTCACAACAATTCGTGCAGCGTTCTCACTACAGTGAATTTTTAAGTGTCACCAAGTCATTAGAAAAATGGAACTCAACCGAGAACATTTTCGCGCCATAATGTATTACAACTTTCAGAGACAATTATCGCAACAAGAATGCCTTGCTGACTTACTATCTGTTTCCGGCAACGAAGCGCCACATCAGTCGACAATTTCCCGTTGGTATGGAGAATTCAAACGTGGACGGGTGCGTCTTGAATGAATGAATGAATGAATCTTGAATTTTAGAGGCATCCCGGCCACCATAAGGAGCCAGTGCATAGGCCGCTTAAGCGGGCCCTTATGCACCTCTACAATACTTAAATCACAAGCCTCGCCCTTTTAGCGAAGTTGAGAATCGCCTTGAGTCCAAGCTCCTTTACGTCCTGAGGGTCCAAAGTAATGGACCCCAGTATAGTCTGCCTATAGTAGCTCAGAGCTTCACAGCGACACAAAACGTGCGCCGAGGTATCTTCCTCTACTCCGCAGCGTTCGCACAAGGAATCCTCAGCCACCCCCATCACGTGCAGGTGCCGCCTTAACGTGTTATGGCCAGACAACAGTCCCACCAGCAACCTTAGGTTGGCTCTACCCAGAGATAGGCAGAAGCGTCCATCCTTAGCACTGGGCCCTTCAATGAGCTCTCGTGCCTGGCGGAGATGTCTAGAGATACTTCTCCATTTCTGAGAGTGTTGTCTTGCAACCCACGTCTCCATTTTCCTCCTAGCTTTATGCGCGGTTACTCCTAGAGCTGGCTCAGGACCAACGAGCTTGCTGGCTGATCCTGTTTTCGCCAGAGTGTCCGCCGTCTCATTGCCCCTTATCCCAGCGTGCCCCGGTACCCATATTAACGATACCGGATGCCTCGCTGCGAGGCAATCCAGAGCCTCCCTGCATTGCAATACAAGACTCGAAGTAATCTTACATGCACTTAGTGCTTTCATTGCAGCCTGGCTGTCGGATAAGATTGTTATTCTTCTCCTAGGCCCACCCTCCTCCAGAATGTGAGATACACAAGCCAGAATCGCAAAGATTTCCGCCTGGAAAATGGTGGTGTACTCACCGAGAGGCAGAGATAGCCTAGTTCTAGGTCCAGAGACCCCAGCACCTGAGCCCTCTTCGGTGACCGAGCCGTCCGTGTACCAGACCTGCCCGCTCACTTCGGAGAGTCCTCGGCTACCGGCGTCCCACTCCTCCCTCGTTGGGTACTCCACAATGAACTTGCGGTTGAAGCGATATTTAGGGGTAATACGATCACCCCTGCTTAGAAGGACGGGGTCCTCCCTTTCTAATTCGACTAATATGGCAGTATGCCCCTTGACCGGATTCAAGAAAGCCCAGCTGCCCTGACTCCACAGTCGATGAGCGACTACTCTCGCTTCACCGCGGATCACCAGATCCAACGGTGGGAGATCCAACAGAGCTTCCATTGCACTCAATGGCGTTGTTCGCACTGCGCTTGTAATGCTAATACAGGCCAAACGCTGAATTTTATTGAGTTTGGCCTTAGTTGACTCAGTTCTAATGCAAGGCCACCAGACCAGGGAGCCGTACAAGAGAGATGGACGTACTATCGTCGTGTAGAGCCAGTATACCACTTTGGGTTTAAGCCCCCACCTTACACCGACAACACGTCTACAAGCCCACATCGAATTGCGAGCCTTGCTAACCTTGTGTTCCACATGCTCTCTCCAGTTCAGTTTGCAGTCCAGGATAATTCCCAGATATTTCACTGACTGGGACAAAACTAATCTAGTCCCAAAGAAGGTAGGCATGACCAGTCCGTCAAGCCTTCTTCTCCTAGTGAATAGGATCAGCTCGGTCTTTTCAGCATTAACAGAAAGATCGACTTCCCTACACCACGATTCCACGGAGCGCAGAGCGCCCTGCATAATTTCCGAGACTGTTCTACAGAAACGCCCCCTAACCACTATGCTTACGTCATCAGCATAGGCTTGCACGTAGACACCCATACTGCTGAGCCTAACGAGCAGTTCGTTCACCACGATACACCACAGTAGGGGTGACAGAACTCCACCCTGAGGGCAGCCTCTAGCTACGTTCACGCTGCAGCTTACGTTATTCAGCATAGCTGTTGTTACCCGACCCTCCAGAGTAGAGAGGACCCAATCTATTAGGATTGATCCAACCCCGTGTCTAACCAAGGCCTGTCTGATAGAGTCGGTTGTGGTGCAATTAAATGCACCTTCAATATCTAAGAAGGCCACGAGTGCCACTTCTCGCTGATCTAGAGTCTTCTCCAGCCTCCCGACCAGATTGTGTAAGGCCAGATCAGTCGATTTTCCAGCTTGGTATGCAAACTGATTTGCATGAATGACACACCTTTCCAGTGGGCCATCCCTTAGGTATCTATCAACTATCCTTTCCAGGGTCTTAAGCACAAAAGATGAAAGAGTAATCGGTCGAAAATCCTTCGGGCCAGTATATCTATCTCTGCTCGGTTTAGGAATGAATACCACTTTAGCCTGCCGCCAGCTTCTAGGTGTGAAGCCCGTGGCCACACATGCTCGAAACACCTTCAACAGGTAAGGAACAACCGAAATCCGTCCCTGCTGTAACATGGCCGGAAATACGCCGTCCAGACCTGGACTTTTGTATGGGGCAAACGAATCTACTGCCCATACCGTCCTTTCGAAGGTGACAATCTCCCTTGCCGTGCGCCAGTCCTCCCTTGAGGGCCTGCGCAACTGCATGCACTCTGTGATTGATCGCGCTACTGTGGAACCGGGAAAGTGCGTATCCATCAGAAGCCTCAGAGTATCTTCCTCGGAAGTAGTGTTCCCCCCCGAGGGATCATGCAGAGATCCCAATCTTGCTTTAATGTCTTTGCATAGGACTCTGTGTATTCTTGCAGTAGCAGGAATGTCATTTATGGACTGACAGAAGTGCCTCCAGGATTCTCTGGAGGCCCTTCTAATCTCCTTTTTGTACTCCTGCAATGCCTTTTTGTATTCTTCCCATAGAGGAGAACCTCTCCTGTGCTTAACTCTGCTAAGAAGTTTGTGCACCGCTCGTTTTCTATCCTCTAAATCTTTGGTCCAGAAGGTTGCCTTGCCCTTACCTTGTACTTTGCGTAACGGGCAGTTTTCCTCATATGCGGCCGTCAAGTCCCTGCTCAGAGACTCGACGGGTGCGTCTTAGCAACGATTCCAGGGTGGGTGCACCAAAAACGGCAGTCACCCAGGAAAACGTCGATGCTGTGCGCAAACTCATCATTGAAGATAGACATGTGACATATCGCGTCCTTGAAGATCTCAAACACCTCAATTCAAAAAAATTTACATGAAGAATTAGGAGTAAGAAAATTAGTTTCTCGTTGGATACCCCACCTGTTGACTGAAGAGCAGAAAGCAGCCAGGGTTAATTGGTGTCAAAAAACGCTTGACCGTTTCAATTCCGGAAACTCAAAAAATGTGTACAGCATTGTTAGTGGTGATGAATCATGGATTTACTGTTATGAACCAGAAAATAAACGACAGACGGCTGTTTGGGTGTTCCAAGGTGAAGAAAAGCCAACAAAAGTCATCCATACTCGAAGTGTTTCGAAAAAGATGGTCGTGATATTTGTGTCAAAAGCGGGTCACATATTGCAACAATTCCTCTTAATGAGCAAAGAACTGTTACTGCAGATTGGTATACCACCATTTGTTTGCCAAAAGTCGTCACCGAGCTTCGAAAAATCAACCCCGAAAGAAAAATCATCCTCCACCAAGACAATGTAAGCTCGCACACACCCCAAAAAACAAGGCAGTATTTAACGGAAGAAAACGTGGAGTAATTTGACCATCCTCCATATAGTCCCGATCTAAGTCCCATTGATTTCTTTACTTTCCCGAAAATTAAAAACAGACTGCGTGGTCAAAGGTTCCAGTCACCAGAAGAAGCAGTTGACGCATTCAAAAATGCCGTTTTGGATCTGCCAGCAAACGAGTGGGATAAGTGCTTCGAAAATTGGTTCGAGCGCATGCAGATGTGTGTTAATCTTCGTGGAGAATACTTCGAAAAACAACAAAGTCATTTAAAACTACCTACCGTGTTGTTTTATTTCCATATGCAAAACTTAAGACATCCCTCGTATGTTATTATACATGTGTTTGGGTTTAGGGTTATTAGTTACTATTTTGTCGTTTTGATAAAAACGGTGCATTTGAGGAGAAAATATTAACAGGGAGTTTTTATGCAGCTAACTAGAAACATTATTCACTTTGAAAAATATCAGTAGCTTACCAACTTTTATGTAAAAATTTCACACTCACAAGACCTGCTGCAGGGATACGTTTGACACTGAAATATGTCATTTTATATCGTCCTATTACATGTGAAAAATAAAAATAATGTCTGAAGTACTTTGGAAGATGAAAAAAAAATATTTACTTCAAATTTCTACAGCCTCTAGCTAAAAAGATAAGCCATTGCTGACATACGTTTATGTAAAATTTTCTTCATAAAATTATTTGAGAGATCATATCCTGGAGTATTAGCACATCATGAAGGAGCATCCTGTATAGTTTTAAAAATGTTTACTTTCAGTTTTAGGAAATTATTAGAAATTCAAAAATTAGTACCTCGAGTAACGTGTCTTGCTCAAAATGCTTTGTATTTCTGAAATCGACTATTACAGTTGTCCAATTACCCTACTATTTCTCTATATTTTACTAAATGCTTGTTTAAAGGATTATCAGAAAACGCTTCATTGAAACATTACAATACATTAAAATTAATAAGACCATTTTATTTACAGTAAAAGATACAGTTAACCGTACTAAATAAACATCGTACGATTAATATGATGCTTATTTTCGGAAGTAGATTGACTGGAGACCAAAAAGGATGTCCGGTGAAGATATATGTGTATTTTATACAAAATAAAACACTAAATGAGCGATAATAAAGCTGATAACAAACTTAGTAGACAATTAGATGCAACTACCGCCCATCTATATAATATAATCTTCCAAGCAAGGCAACTGAATAAGCTGATTACTCGCTATGATTCAAGTGTTACCGTACTTGCAAGTGACCTTGAAAGGAAATAGAAAAAGAAATCTAACATAACGACGCAATGTTGTGACAGTGAAAGGATTTCCAATCATCCCAACTGTTTCTTCCTGTTGATTTATGTGGCGCTGATGGATGTTTGCTTTCTCTCTTGAGGATGTTTTTTATGCAAATTTTCTCGAATGTTTGAGTGGCGACTGAATAAATCGAGAGGGTTCAATTTCCAGGGGCGGATCCAGAGCGACATTTTTTGGGGGATTGACAATTGAAGAGTGGGGAGTGGCTTCTGGGAGCTAATGCTAATAATTGAAGGGCGTCAGAAGAGGGGGGGGTGCGTAGGTGGCTTCATTTGTGCTTCGAATGCCGGTCTGAAAATTGGAGAGGGGGGATCGAGACTGATTCGTTGGTGCCTCCGAGTTCAAATGTGTTTTTTTTCTAGCGATTTTTTGGGGGGAACACTCCCCCAGCTCCCGTCTCCCCTGTGGATCCGAAAATGACTGTCTCTAATTTTACAAAACCTAGAAGCTTTTATGCTCATTCGTAGCATTTATTCATGTAGATTTCGTCAATTGTTTTGTGATCCCTGTTTTTTTATATTTCAATTATCATCAGAAAACTTATGGGGTATTATTTGTAGCTATTATTCCCCTTAAGAAATGACCATATCGAAAAACATGCAACAACTTGAGTTATGTGTATTACTTGCATTAGTATGTGAAATTGGTCATAAATCACAATTTGAAGCGTTTTATGGATTTTGTAACTGAGTAATTTCCACTTAGTCGTTTGACCTAGAATTCACTTAATCATATTTTATTTATTGATTTACGAGTGTTATTGCCATTCGCGATACTGGAACATGCGTTTTTAGTTTTTCGATCCTTTAAAGATTTAAATAATAGTATAATCATATTAGCTGTTTACTATTTTTTTTCCGACCACATAAAATTACTGGGGCTAACAGCCGAAATATATGTTGATTCCGCAGTAATTTTTGCTTTATTCAGCTTGTTCACCAGAAGTGGAAAGAATGACAGAAAGAATGAATTTGAGAAGAATGCAAAATGTATATTTTTTTTTTATATCGAAACAGCCGCGCAGGCAGAAGCCTAAATGCCGGAACACCGCGGCTGCTATGATGATCCCAAAGAAATTTTGTTAATACGATTTTTGAACTGCCTAAGGTTAGTAGAACTGGGAAAAGCTTCCTCCCGTAGATTGTTCCACAATCTAGACACCCTCGGGACAAAGGAGCGGTCGTATCGGCCAGTTCTGGATGTACGAAGTTTGACACTGTTAGGATGGGACGAAGAAGTCAGGCGGGTCTGTCTGGCAGGCACATCGCGCGGCGGCATCATGGAAGAGAGCTCTGAGGAGCAAAGCCCGTTGGTGTAGCGATAGAAAAGAGCTAGATCGCCGACGGCCCGCCGGTGCGAAAGAGTCCCGAGACTGTCTGTTAGAGAAGAGTCATCGATCAGTCGGACTGCCCTCCTCTGGACAGCATCGAGCATGGACAATGTAGTCGGGGCGGCAGCACCCCAAATGTGTGAGCAATACTCGAGGCTAGGCCTTATCTGGGCCTTGTATAGAGTGAGAAGGTCATGCGGAGAAAAGTACTTCTTAGCCCTAAACAAATAGCCTAGCTTTTTCCCAGCAGCTGCAGCTATTGAAGAGATGTGTTCGTGCCAGATCAGGTCCTCGGTGATCTGGACTCCGACCAGCCGAAATGAATGGCTCTTTGGTAGAACTCGACCGTCCATCGAAACTGTATGAGCGCTAGGACGCTTTTTGTTCGTCAAAGTACAGTACTGTGTTTTGGAAGCATTGAACTGTACAAGATTGTTGCGTCCCCAAGCAGTGATAGCCTCCAGGTCTCTTGTCAGAGAAGAAGTCGTCGCTAGTCTTCTTTTTTCCAGCTCAGCGGCAACGATCGGCTTGTCACTCTGAATTCCTGCATGTAGAGTGCTGTCATCAGCGAAGCTGTGGATTGGGTTGATCGTGCAGGAAAGGAGGTCGTTGATATGTAAGAGAAACAGTGTTGGAGCCAAGACCGATCCCTGGGGAACACCCGCGTTGACGTTGTGGGATGAAGAGGAGAATCCGTCAATTACGACGGATATCTTGCGGCCAGAGATAAAGTCAGCCACCCATCTGCAAAGCTTTTCTGGGAGGCCGTAGGATGGAAGTTTGCTTAAGAGGGCAGCGTGCCACAGCTGATCGAACGCTTTCGTGATGTCAAGAGCAACGACATGAGCCTCACCATGAGACTTTATGAGTTTACTCCACAGTTGCGTGACGTAAGCTAGGAGGTCCCCTGTGGATCGTTGGTGCCGGAAACCGTACTGCCTGTCGCTAATCAAGCTGTGACGTTCGAGGTAGTCCAGAAGCTCGCGATTTATGCACCTCTCCATCACTTTACTTATAACAGAAAGCAGAGCTATAGGCCTGTAGTTGTAAGGGTCGGTTTTAGATCCTTTTTTTGGGATGGACTGTACATGAGCAAATTTCCAGTTTTCTGGGAAGGTGCCGGATTCATAAGATATCTGGAAGAGACGCGAAAGAACTGGAGCAAGCTCCGCTGCACATCTCTTCAGTACAATGGCAGGAATCAAGTCCGGACCAGAAGCTTTGTTGATGTCGAGCGACAAGAGCACTCGTCTTACGGTCTTATGCCTGAATGTTACCTCTCGCATAGTGTGGGGAACCCTTTGAATTGACGGCACTTGGGCGTTGGTGGGGACGTCCATGGTGGAGTTGGCAGCGAGATCCAGCAGGCTACTGGCGTGTGACGAGACGCGGGGAAAAAAAGTAGGGCTCGTCACCAGCTGGGTCAGCCCTTGAGTAAGAGCGAACGCTTCGACTGCACGACCTGCTGCATCGGTCTTATTTGAGCCCAACCAAAGCTCATTATGGGCATTGAAATCACCGAGAAGAACTACCTCTGAAGCGGGGTGATTGATGTTCAGGAAGTCGATCTGGACGGCGAGGTATTCGAGTAGGTCATCCCAGTTATGGTTCGAGGGAGAGCGATAAAGGCAGCAAATAAATTTGGGTGATGTTTTGGAGTTGAGGCGAAGCCACAGAATGTCCTTCCGGTCTGATTCCAAAGAAAGATCCCTGGAGCAGGAAAGACTGCTGCGGACAAAAGCCACAACTCCCCCGTTCTTTCTCAGACTGGAGTGCATCTCGTAGTTTGGGAAGTTGAGATGGTTAATCGGTGCAGTCTCTGAGATTTTTGTCTCCGCCAAGAAAAGCACGGCGGGACGATTGGATTGCAGGTAGTGATGAACAGCATCAATGTTGCTGTTGATCCCGCAGATGTTCGAAAAACAAATTTTATCTTCGATGTTGTTCCCTCGAGCCCACCCTCCACCCGGACATTCCGAGAGTGGAGTGAGTTTACGTCCGGAGTTTTTAGGGCTCGAGGGATCCATCATCATTAATTTTAAAATCTTGTTGTGTGATCGGCTACACGGCTATGTACGGTGTTCCTTAATGACGTGCTAACTCCATGATATGATTCCCAAAAACCTAACGATCATATTTATACCCGCAATGATTTTTTACAACAGTGTTGAAGTCTTAAGGCACAAAGTTTGTATTTTATAATTTTGAAAGTGCTTTTGATATTGGGATGCTATAAGAGGATATAAAATGACATATTTTAGTGTATTGTGATATTTAAAAAAAAAGAAAAATCCTACTCCACTGATACTTTCC